ACTAAAGGATCAGACTTAAAAAGTTGAAAATACTATATATATATGTATTTAAGAATTGACGTTATCTAAGATAATAAGCCTAATAATATAATTTACGCTGTACCTGTGTTGTACATTATAAATTCAGGGTGTCCCACAAAACATGAAAGTGAAGAAAAAGAGTTATAATATCGTCTTTGATATTAGAAATCAAATGCCGCATTTATTTGTCAACTTATCTTTACATGTATGATTCTTGAAACAATTAATCACTTAAAGGCAGACCACTTAATGCCCGGACCAGGGCACTTCCGTATGCCGGTCCATTATCGCCTGATCCAATCAGGGTTCAGTCATGTGTTTGTTGTCTAGTCTGAACCAATGGCGGTAACATCGATCTTTCTATCTATCTCCTCATCCAATTAGAGATGAATCCTTCAATCAGCGCTAACAGTAAATGGAAATATTTACTTCTACTGAAACTATAGCAAGGGGTATTTTGTTTTTATTAATTCGAGCATTTTGGTTTTAATATTATTTGAACGAATAATGCCACAAATTATTACAAAAGTCAAAGACGATATTCAACTCTTCTCTCAATTGTCATGCTTCGTGGACCACCCTATATAATGTATAATTATAATTATAATTATAATAAGCACTTTGACTTTTTTTCTAGAATCGTAATTATTACATGTTTAAAAAGCTGAAAACGGAATTTTAACTTTTCAATTGAAACTCTGTAAAAAAATTGTGGCATGTCTGATTGACAGCGGTACTCTTTATATTGTCTGTGCAGCACAAATGCACAAGTCACATTCAGGGAGGAACCACAACTGAATAAAATCAATTTTTAGATGGAAAAACAAGGTTATTGATTCTTTTCCCCATCCTATTTCTCAGGTCAAAAATAATGCTAATTTTACGAAAATTCCGTTTAAATGTGTATTTCCGATAAGTGTCAACATTTTCTTGGGTTTTGTAATATCTGTTTCCAATAAGCTTTATGATTTACGGAAAATTTTTAAATAAAGGTTATTAAGCCTCAGTTTTAAAGAAAAAAAACAGTCCTCTATAGAAAATAAGAAATACAAGTTTTAACAAAATGGATATGTAAAGTAAAAGTAAAAAGTAAAAAAATATTTATTTATGAAATATAATAAAAACATACAAAATTTAGTGTTTCAGGAGAAAATATTTAAAAACCTCTAAACTAAAGGTTGTGGGAATATTTCCCTCCAATTCTAACAAATATAAGAATATAAATAAAGGAAAAGGAAAGAAAAGGATAAGGAAAGTTACATATTTATTGTTTACACTTTATTTAATATAAAATTGGTGGTGGATTATTAGTATTTTTCGACGATGAACTAACAACTTTTAGAAATAAAAATTATAGATTTATTTGTAACGTTAAAAAAAGTAAAAAAAAAGCTTTATCGAGTGTGAAAGAGATATGGGTTCTATGCGCATTTTTAAGCAGATTTTTAATTCGCGCCGTTTTTTGACATTCTTAGAAAATTGTCGTTAAAAACTTAATAAAATCCAAACGGTTTGATAATTGATGATTGATATTTATTACTTGCTTTTAATATTTATATATTTATTTAGTGATTGATCAAATATAACTGGATCAATTTCAACCAATTCTATCTAACGATATTTATGTCTCTATACAGTTAAAAGATGAACTAGCTATAGAGTGCAGACCATATATGGGTAAAATCTAATTAAGACATAAAATTTACAGATTTTAAACTATGATACAGGGTGTCCCAAAAAACATGGGAATTCAGTGACGAATTGGATATCGTCTTTGTTATGAATTAGCATTGTAATTTCTATTTTCAAAAGCCATAATATTATTATGTCTGCTAGAGTTTATTTTATGAAAAGGGTTAAAGACTGTAAAGATGAGTCTATAATAATGTCTCCGCAAGATGAACAGTGAAGACGGACAAGTTTACTCTGTTTGTATACTGCAATTTTCTTGTTTTACTAAGTACAACTGTATGCAGTCAAAACATAAACAAACAAATTGTGAACATAGCAGACGAAACTCTTACAGATTACGGCTTTCTCAGTAGGTATCACTATAACTAAATCAAAGAATTATTTAAAAAGACGATATCGAATTCGTCACTGAATTCCCATGTTTTTTGGGACACCCTGTATATAAATAAATTCTAAGCTTTGGAAATAGGACAAAAAGAGATCTAAATACATGATGATATCGATAGATAAATTGGACAATTAGATAGGCAGATAGATAGATAGATAGATAGATAGATTGATAGATAGATTGATAGATAGATAGATTGATAGATAGAGCTAGAAAGATTGATTGATAGATAGATTGATAGATAGATAGATTAATAGATAGATAGATAGATTGATTGATAGATAGTGAACAGTAAGCCTGAATGGTTAATTTCTGTTTACCCATATACCACAAAAAATGTAAATAAAGTCTCAAATGATTAATTACAAACTATTTTGCAAAACGTCTTTTTTTATTTTTGTTTTAAAGTTATGATATTTGAATAAATTCTAAAATTTGTGTTCCCTATTTCTTAGATTTGACCATTGTTTTTTTTCAGATGCGGGCCGAGGGTGGCTCTCAGGTCATCCAGTACACTGGAGGCCAACCAATCAGTACATACAGTACACAAGGTACAGTTAATTCAAATATAGAGTACACTGGAGGTCAACCTATCCGTACATATACAACACAAGGTACAGTTTATACAAATATAGAGTACACTGGAGGTCAGCAGTACATATACTGCACAAGGTACAGTTTATACAAATATATAACTAGGTCAGCAGTACACTACATATACTACACAAGGTACAGTTTATACAAATATATAGTACAATCGAGGTCAGCAGTACACTACATATACTACACAAGGTACAGTTTATACAAATATATAGTACACTGGAGGTCATTAGTACATATACTGCACAAGGTATAGTTTATACAAATATATAGTACACTGGAGGTAACCTATCAGTACATAAACAACACAAGGTACAGTTTATACAAATATAGAGTACACTGGAGGTCATCAGTACATATACAACACAAGGTACAGTTTATACAAATATATAGTACACTGGAGGTCAGCAGTACATATACTACACAAGGTACAGTTTATCCAAATACAGAGTAAACTGCACATATTTGCATACAATCTCTTTAGATTATGTAGAAAGAAGATAAAAATTGAAGATTGCACTAGATTTTAATGCAATCTAAGGTGGGACATAGAATTTGCATATTTATGTAAATTTGACGACTTATATTATAAATCTCAATATTTATTCTTTATAAAGCTAGAACAGAGAAACTTTAATCAAGGCAAATATAAAATGATATTAAATTGTACATATAAACTTTTATATAACAAAGGTTGAACATGATTTACATATAATCTGCATCTGAACTCTTTTCTATATCTTTCTATATATTTAGGGCAGGAAAAGGAGGAATAATAATAGCGATTATCTGCATCTGTGTATTTACTTTATATTTCTAGGGCGGAGAAGGTTGAGGCGGAATAATAATGTTTATCTGGTTCTATATACTTTTAAAGTCTAGAGCGGAGAAAGTTGAGGCGGAATAATAATGTTTATCTGCCTCTATATAATCTGATATTTCTAGGGCGGAAAAGGTTGAGGCGGAATAATAATGTTTATCTGGTTCTATATACTTTTATAAGTCTAGAGCGGAGAAGGTTGAGGCGGAATAATAATGTTTATCTGGTTCTATATACTTTTATAAGTCTAGAGCGAAAAAAGGGTTGAGGCGAAATAATAATGTTTATCTGCCTTTATATAATCTGATATTTCTAGGGCGGAGAAGGTTGAGGCGGAGTAAAAATGGTGTTTATCTGCCTCTATATAATTTTATATTTCTAGGGCAGAAAAAGGCCGAGGCGGAATAATAATAATGCTGTTTATCTGCCTTTATATACCTTATATTTTTAGGGCGGAGAAAGGGTGAGGCGGAAGAAGAGTGGGTAACGACCAAGAAAGTTGAAATAACAACAACAAAAAATGTCGAGAAAAAAATTCAACGGCAGATAGTTCTGGAGGTAAAAATTTATTTTAGCATTTATTTTTTTTTTAATTTTCCATTTTTAAAATGTATTCTTATATATTTTTTTTTTTTTGGTTTAATTCAATCAAGCAATATATGGTGTAACAACCAATGTGGAAATCAAATCTATCAAAAAATCGTTATCCATTGAATAACCAGAGAAATAAAATTTACCAAATCTAATAAAATAAGCAAATATGGTTTCCAAAAAATATATATTTTTCAAGCAGCTTAGATAGTATTTTTGGTGTTAGATCTGTTTTCTGACATTTTTCGTCTTAAAAAGTATCAATGAATGCTATTTGAGATCGCTATTCGCATGGATCCAGACTGCTCTAAATATTCGCATAGATCCAGACTGTTATTGATATTCCCCTGGCACTTGCTGTCAGTGCTCCACCAAGTATATACTGCCTAAATACTGCCTGAACACTGCCTGAAAAATGCCTAAAGCTATTATTCTACTTAATACAGAGACATGGCAAGATTTGAAATCAATAACAGAAATAATATTAATAATGGTAATCAGCACAATTTAGCCGGAATTATGTTTCACATTAAACTGATATGAACTGCACGTATAGATTATAATCTTATATGTTTAAAATCATAACTCCTGTTGTTTAAAATCAAAATTAGAGGAGCTACGATATCATAAAGCCGAAAAAGTAAATTGCATAAATTAAACATTCACCTTTCGTCTAGTTTGCAATGGTTTTTGCATTACAATAAATGCATGAATGTCTGAAACATCTTAAATAATTTTTAAATTAAGTTTCAGATATTTTTTGGAAGAAGGCTTGTGCTGTTTTGCTCCCATTTTGATGCTGCACACTAGATTTACACTTTAAGAACAATAAATTCATATAATCTTTGATTATTAAAATTCATCGGTCTGGGTTTAATTTAAAAATTGCATTCATGATATTATTGTACAGAAAAATACAAACTAAAATTCATGATTATCATAACTTGACACATCACATAACCAACCTGTTTCTTGTGTCAAACAAAAGTAACTTGCAATCATATAGCTTCTCTTTATGATAACCATAAAGAATTGAACAAAATGTTTTAAGTTTCTAATATATGTAACCGGATACTACATATGACACTTTTAAACTTTTAAAAATTTTAATCAGTGTTGAAGTTGGTTCGGGGATGGTAAGAGGCTTTAGGCATAAATTGGCAAACATAAAAATGTATTATTGTATATTAATCTATCTTATCTTGTCTACAAGTGATGCGTTAGTTTAACGGGATAGTTTATTTTCTATTGTTTACGCATTTTCTGACGCATCTGTTGACGCATGCCGTGACGCATCTTTTCTTTGTTGAACAAAGAATGAGAAGAAGACACAAAACTCTAAAATTATGACGATTTGAAGCTTAATTTTTGGTTTCTGTATTTAAATAATTCAATTGAATATTTTAATGGTTTATTAAATGCTTAAGCATAATAATATGCCAGTTTTTGCCTACAAGGAACCCTGAGTGCAAGAAAACGGACTAAACAATTCCGTACAATAACTAATTTTCAGTTCAAAACTAGGATATGTTCACCTAGTTAGTTGAGATGTAGGTAACTAAAAATATTTAAGAAATATCAGCAGAGCTGAAAACTTTAGAATGGTGGATATCGGGATTAATGCTTGATCCTTTCTTTTTGATAATCTCAAGATTAACATAATCTTGCAAGATTATCTTAAAGGTGTATAAAAAACGATAAAATTCAAATTAATATTTTATCATCTCAGAAACTTTCACAGCCAATCAGAGAAAAGCGGGCAACCAATGAGAGAACAGAAATATTCTCATTGGAGAAAACAATTAACGGATATCCAAGGAGAGAGAAAAAGAGTGGATTAGGACAAAAATGAAAAGTTTCCACAGTGGATATTCGGATCAAGAAGTCAGGATTAAAGTTTATCCATTCTAAAGTTCCCAGCTCTGTACATATTGCTGAACATTTTTTGTATGTTTGTGTCATGATATAATTTGTTTCCGTTAACCTCTTAGTTTAAATGTGGTTTTCGTGTCTTTATAAATATAATATATGTCTTCTCTGTTTTTATAACAGATGGAAAGAAATCGAATTATTTTTTCTACTTTTGTACATAGAAGTTATAAGGTACAAATATATGGGTTACAATTACAAATATATAAATGTGTTACAAATACAAATATATAAATGGGTTACAAATACAAATATATAAATGACATAGATCCAGACTGCTCTAAACATTGGCTGAGATCCAGACTGCTCTAAATATTCGCATAGATCCAGACTACTCTAAATATTCGCATATATCCAGACTGCTCTAAATATTCGCATATTTCCAGACTGCTCTAAATATTCGCATAGATCCAGACTACTCTAAATATTCGCATATATCCAGACTGCTTTGAATATTCGCACGGATCCAGACTACTCTAAATATTCGCATAGATCCAGACTGCTCTAAATATTGGCATAGATCCAGACTGCTCTAAATATTAGAATAGATCCAGACTACACTAAATATTCGCATAGTATCCAGACTGCTTTGAATATTCGCACGGATCCAGACTACTCTAAATATTGGCATAGATCCAGACTGCTCTAAATATTAGAATAGATCCAGACTACACTAAATATTCGCATAGATCCAGACTGCTCTAAATATTCGCATAGATCAAGACTACTCTAAATATTCGCATAGATCAAGACTGCTCTAAATATTCGCATAGATCCAGAATGCTTTACATATTCGCATAGATCCAGACTACTCTAAATATTCGCATAGATCAAGACTGCTCTAAATATTCGCATAGATCCAGACTGCTCTAAATATTAGAATAGATCCAGACTACACTAATTATTCGCATAGATCCAGACTGCTCTAAATATTGGCATAGATCCAGACTGCTCTAAATATTAGAATAGATCCAGACTACACTAAATATTCGCATAGATCCAGACTGCTCTAAATATTCGCATAGATCCAGACTACTCTAAATATTCGCATAGATCAAGACTGCTCTAAATATTCGCATAGATCCAGAATGCTCTAAATATTAGCATAGATCCAGACTGCTCTAAATATTCGCATAGATCAAGACTACTCTAAATATTCGCATAGATCCAGACTGCTCTAAATATTCGCATAGATCCAGACTGCTTTAAATATTAGCATAGATCCAGACTGCTATTAAAAGTTTTCAAGACTGGGTTGACTTTGAAGTGTTGCAACACTTTGACGGCTTTAACTCTTATTACTTTTATGTAGCTGTAGACATGTACATTATTTATAACTATAACTTTTTTGTTTTTAAGAAGTAATTGGCAAAATTCTCAACGATTTTTGCTTGAGAGCTTGCAACCTATTATGAATAATTGTTTAAAATTAACTCGTTTTTATCCTAAAATTTAGAAAACGTCATCTTTGCTCTAGAAATTCAAACAGCTCATGTGAGAATCTTACAATTTTAATATATTCTATATTTCACTTTATTTATTACGAAAGGGATTTAACAAACTTATATATTTGTACTGAAAAAAGAATTGTTTATGTTTTGAGGGAAGGGACAAACAGGGTGTTCCACGAAACATGACAGTTGGTAAATAGTTTAGAATGTCTTCTTCCATAATTTGTTAAGTTGTTTAATACCAAAGACAACAATAAAAATATTATATAAGAGTGATATTATAGTAAAATTAATTTCAAAGTAAAATGTATTTGAGCAAAAGATTTTTTAAACGAATTAAACTGCAAACAACCTTTAACATCTAAGACACTGTATAAAAGACGACATTCAAAACAATTTACCAACTGTCATGTTTCGTGGGACACCCTGTACTTTAAGGTTGCCCATAATTGGCGTGCTTGCTTCTAAATAAGTGAGGATTCCCTTTAAATGGATTGATGAATTTAGAATATTTACTAGACATGTTAAAATTGGTCCTGATTGAATAATTATCCCCGGACTCTAGATGAATGAGAACATAATTGCTTGTTTGGATTGACGTCTGCTTGATTGATTGATTAATTGATTTTATATTCGGACAGAGCTTTTGGCTAATTCTTATTCTGTGGTTATGTATATTCAGATATATTGGAAAAATCTAATGTTTTTGTTTTTGAATTGTCAAATTTTCACTAAAAAAAAGATATTTTTTCAAAGTATCATCGTGACATTCTGACATTTACTTTGATCATTTGAAGTCATCACACATAAAAGTGGTTCCGTTTGGTTTTGCAGTTGCTCTTACGCAAAATTCGATACAATTTTGCCAATTATGAAAGCTAATAAATAAGTATTTCATTGATTTAAAATCTTCCTGTCTACAAAAGTAAAAGTGAGTTAGTGATGTGAAATCTAAGAAAAAGGCTCTGAGACATATTTAAGCAGTCTTGATCTCTATACTTGATCTCTATACTTGATTTCTATACTTGATTGGATCTAAAGAAACAATATTTTTTTTTAACAACAAAGAATGATACTTTAGAAATGAATGTTTAGATTAAATTAGATTCAGGATTCCCTGCAAATGTAAAATTGTTTCTTTTAGCTTTGCTAAGTTATAAAATAAGCCATTAAAAGAACTATATTCAATGCAGAAAGCCTTGGAAAAGTCATATTTTTTAATTTTTGTAATTTTCAGGTAGTTTTACAATCTCATTTTTTGTGGGTATAACCCTGTTTATCTTTTATGTAACTATTGTGTACTTTATCAGTCTTAACCGTTTCATCGTGAATTTCAATAAACGTGCTATAAAGTAATTATCATGCTATAAAGTTAAATCAGCTGTATATTATAGCACCGTGTTATAAAGTAAACATCGTGCTATAATGTTGTAATCAAAACTTTATAGCACATGTGCTGTATATTATTGCACATGTGCTGTATTTTATGGCACATGGGCTATAAGGTTTTGATTGGTTCCCTTCCCGGATTTTCTCCAAACAATTTCAATTGAAATGAAAATAAAATTGAAATCAACTTTTTATTTTTATTTCTGCTTTCTTACACAGCTATTTTATCTAGAAATAGTCATTGAAATAAGACAAGTACACACACGTTTAATAAAATTACCTTTAACAATAATATTTTGGCAAGACGCGCTATCAAGTTTTTTTAATGGATTTTTGTTATTTCTTAAAGGCCCTGGTATTTTTAGATTATATTATGTTCTTCACTAAAGGATCAGGACAAAATTTAATCTTAGAATGCTTGAACCTTCTTTATAAAGAGAAAATTACTGTCTAAAAACTTTATTTCACTAGGAACCAAAATTATAGTCTTAAAAACAGTTTTTGTAATTTTTTTTCCAAGGATGGAAGAGTATTAGAGGAGGAGATACCTACTGTTACTAATGATACTACAGAGGATAAACAGACATTTGAAACTGATCATGATGAGGACAGGTGATTAGAGATGGGCACATTCGTTTATTTCATTTAATTCATTCATTGTTCGTGAACGATCTGTTTCGTTATTTATTTATTTCATTCGTTCATTGTTTGTGAAAAATCCGCTTCATTCGTTTTTTTATTGTTCAATAGAAATGATTGATGTATGCATATCGATGTTAAATATATAATTACAGCCATATGTAACTCAAAAGCGATCTAATTATGCTCAAGAGTATGCTTAAGTTAAAGTTTGTTATGCATGTGACTCATTGTTTTGTGTTATTGTGAATATAAAAAGATAAGTTTTGAACAATGGTATAGGCAGATTTTATAAAGATAAGACAATGTTGACTGTAATTAAAAAAGTTCATGTCATTTTCGAAAAAAAAATTGGGATCTTTGCTTGCAAAAAATTGTCCTGTCCACAGTTTTTAAGGTTTTTAGTAAGAAAATATTTATCCAAAAGTTTCAATTTTTAACAAAACAGGTTTTAATATTAGATCTGTATAATCTGTGGAGAAAGGTGGGTCGAAGACTAAGGTGTGTTTAATTCTTCATTGATTGATTAACTCCGAGGGATTGATTGATTGATAATTGGATGGAGGAATTTATTTATTAATTTATGATTGGAGGGATGGAGGGATTAATTCATTGATGATCGGAGGGATTCAATGATTAATAGATGATCGGAGGGATTGCTTAATTGATGATCGGAGGGATTGTTGAAATGGTGATTGGAGGGAGGGATTGCTTTATTGGTAATTAGATGGATTGATTGATTAATTAGTTGATAATTGGAAGGATTATTTATGATCGGAGATATTGATTGATTTGTAGATGATAGGATGGATTGATGATTGGAGGGACTTCTGGATAAATTGATAATTGGATTGATTGATTAATTAATTGATACTTGGAGGGATTGAGGAAGCTCATCAAATAGATAATTAGTTCTGGTTTTCAAGAGCTTGCTATTGTTTCTCAACATAATGTAGGGAACTATATTCTTAAACCCTTCCCAGTCTGAGAGAGGGGGGGGGGCTAGCCATGTTTTTTTTTATCAATAAGACATGCTAGAATTGTTTAGAAATCACGAAGATTTTTTTTCGGAAAAAACATAAAGAATGTTGAGGAATAAAAGTTTGTGATGTGTCTGTAATATTCTGTCCAAAATGTTAAAAAAAATGAGTTGGAATGTCGAACTAGCTAGTCGTCAAGTTTTAAATCATAATTCCTTTTATTAAGAAGAAAATGTAACGCAGAATTAAAATCTATTATTATGTTTTTAATCCTAACTCCTCTTATATAAGAGTATTTTAGTAAAACATGTTTTGAATTTCTAATATGTAACCAGAGCTGAAATTTTTAGAATGGGATAGCCTTAATCCTGATAGATTAATTAATCTGGAGATTAATAACAAGAGGAGAACAAGCAATATTTAATCTCGAGATTAAGAAAAAGAGTGGATCAAGCATTAATCTTGATATTCAGCAGTCTAAAGTTTTAGCTCTGATATAAGTTTTTCTCATAATTATGCGTAAAATCAAAACTAGAGGAGCTACGAGGTCACAAATTCGCACAAGTGATGTCGCATGAATTAGACTTTTCTTTTTTTGTCGAGTTTGCAGTGGCGAATGTCGATTAAAAGATTCAGAGTTCAAATTTGATAAGTTTAAGCTGCGTCTCACTTTCCCCAAAAACTGGTTTCAATTAAGCGCCGGCTGAAATCTTGAAACATTGAATACTATTTTAAGTGGAACCAACCATATTTAAGCCGCGGCTCAAATTCTTTAAATTCGGCCTCAGGTTAATGATCGGAGTAAACCATTCTTTGCAAATGAAAACAAAAACATATTTTCTTCTTGTTCTCAAATATGAAAACAATTTGGATAAACTTTACTTCGTTGTTACAAAGTTATTAAATAGTTTACTATTTTTAATCGAGGTTTCTCTACTTAACTGACATGTGAATTTCCGTTGTGAGAAGCAAAAACAATTTTGAAGTATTATCTCCAACTTTAAAATTGAGACTTTTTCACCGTAGCTCCTTACGTTTTGATTTTGTACTATATGAGATACGCAAATTTATTCGATGGTTTATAAGAAATTCAAAACATTTTTATTTTAACTTTAATTTGACGTCTTTAACAAATTTTTTTTGTGTCATCATTAAAATTAATTAAATTTTGATGAAAATATGAATATTTTATTTTTAAACAGAATGATTTAAATTTCAGAAACAGAAACTATTAGTTAAGTGTATACGATATAAAGTATCAAACCGACAGATTAACAGTATACAAACAGACGAAATGATAGTGAGATAAATGTGGTACAGGGTTTCTATAAAAAGAAGGATCGTTCTTAAAGATTGATTTGATCTACCTACACAACGCATTATCAAAGAAGTCAAACTATTTCATATTATGTATAGAACATCTGTGTAATGATTTTAGATATTTCAATCTCCAATTTTTTTATATTTTTTCACGTTCTTGTAAAAGCGTATAAAAGAATCAAATTTTTATTTACTTAACCATCACACTCATACTGCTGCAGGATACTCAAATCCACTATTTTTTCTGCAAAAAACATATTTTTTACCATCTGTAAAAATTAGATATTTTGTAGTCCAAATGATTTGTGCAAAGCCCAGTCAAATAGTAAAACAATATAAACAATAATACATTATTGAAACTGCTACTGAGTGCTACTGCAAATAGTAAAACAAACAATAATACAATATTGAACCTGCTACTGAGTGCTACTGCAAATAGTAAAACAATATGAACAATAATACATTATTAAACCTGCTACTGAGTGCTACTGCAAAAAGCAAAAAAAATTGTTCTTATGTCACTTGACCAGTTTTACATAAATTTTTGAATGTACATTAAAGCTTTGTTTCTACCATAGATTTGTTAAAATAACAAATAGGACACTAGATGTAGTCTTTTGAAGATTCCTGTGTGATTCGTTCCCCAATGCCCGAGGCAGCATCCCAAAGGATGTCCACGTAGTCCTCGTAGACCAGGCTCTCTCTGTCTTTCTTCTACGCCGACTATACGTAACTCCTTTGGGCTGCTGCCTTAGGGTTATTGTGAACGAAACCCACATAAATCTTGAAAAGACGACATCTATTGTCATATCTGTTATTTTATTTATCTATGGTTTCCAAGTTGAAAAAATGTGGATTTAAGGAGGAGAGGGTGTATGTATGTCTTGTTAATATTTTTTATAGATGTCCCAATAATTGAAGGAATCATATGAAGACATTTTATTCAACGCGGCATTATTTGGTTAACACAATTTTATGTATTAAAGTTAAAACATTTTACATTAAAAACTACTAATCTGGGGATTCGCCATTTTTGTACTTTTACATTGAGATATATTCAGATTTTATTTAGATTTGAATTTTTAAAAAAACTTTCAAACTTTAATTGCAAATTTTAAAGGTAAAATAAATCATCATGGTCACTTTTAACATTTAGTGCACAGTGGTATAACCAGTAACAAGTTGGATAAATGTTTGTCGTTTTTTATCCTTTCAATTTTGTGCGATTGATATACATTACTGATAAAAGCATGGTCACATTTTTTGAAAACAGCAATTGTAAAGGACCTGAGTCTCAGGTTTTTCAAACTTTGAGTTTTGTTGGATCAAATAAACTAAGTTTAGAATATCAAAGGTTGCAAAGATATAAGGTTTAGAAAATTTGAGTTTGGGACAAAAACTCAGTTCTTTTCAAAATATTTTATGATTTAAACAAGTAAAGGATAGGATTGTATTTTAACTGTTAGTTTAAAAGTCGTATTTGTCTCTGATCTACTTTACTCCCTTCTACTGCTTTTCATGCTTTACTGTAGTCTCTTTGTTTTGCAATCTTGACAATTATGTATGACAATTACTGTATACCAAGATCATGACAACATGTCAGCACAATATTTGACATTTAGCATTATTTGCACAAACATCTGCGGAAATATTTAAGTTTACAGCCATTCTTTCAAATAAATAACATACAGGGTTTCTCAGAAAAAAAATTTTATTCGTAAAGTCGGACTTTCAAAATAACACCCATTCAGTTTAAAATTTAAAACAATTGTTTACGATTGCTTAGAAATCATCCAAATATAAAAAAATCAGAGATGCCCCCTTAAAAATTTAAAAAATCAAAGAATTATAAAAAAAATATGTTTGATATATTTGAACATTGTTTTGTATTACTTAACTAATTTACAAAATTGCACCAAGAGTCTCATTTTATATCTCAGCTCAGTAAGATCTAAGGTTCAATTGTTTTCTTCTCGAATTCCTCCAATAATAATAATTTTCATCCTAAGTACTGTTTAATCAGATAAAACCCTCAGATCTAAACCTTAGAACAAATAGAAAAAGAAATTAAAAAGAAATGGTGAGACCAATTTTCGCGGAAAAAAAAAGAATTATACGGAATTGGTTTCAAATAAAAGTTTCACGTAAAAATATGATTTAGAATTAACTAGCTTCGGAACCCAGCTTTGTCTTGAGTTTAAAATTGAACCAAATCAACTTAACCCTATTCCCGCTGGGGGGGGGGGTCAATTTGACCCCCCCCCCAGCGTATCCTGGTTTTCAAGTACCCCAGCAGGGATAGGGTTAAAATTGTTAATTCAGGTCAATAAATTTCCTTGGTTTTAGAACCATGGAATGATCTAATGGTTAGGCGGGTCCGAGCTGCATAGTACATATTTGTTAAGAATTTCAGTTTTTATTTCTTTTTTGCATTTTTTTTTATAGATTTTGAATTAGCTGTCCTTGGAAACAGTCGTCGTCGTTATCAATACAATGAAGACGACTTTTGTTTTCAATTTTTCTTTACATTTTACATTCCTAATGGATACATATAAACAAAGCATAAAAGTAAAGCTGTCAATTAACACCAATTCTCTTTGTCTAGCAGTAAACTTGTAATCTAAAAAAATATCTTGTTAAAAATTAAAACTAGAATAGAAAAGTCTTGTTGTATAAATATAAACGCCGACCAATATAGTGGGCCTGCGAACATGTATTGCATCCCAATACTTCAGGGTATGCTATGCTTTCAAGCAGATCATTCCATTTGGAAGCTTTAAAAAAGTAATTTTTTAAAATATTTTTTTAGGAAAATTGAGGCGGGATCCGGACTGGACCTTATACAAAGCAAATTTCATTCCAAGTAAGTTATATTTTTTCACTGTCATCCAAAAGGAATTGAGTCTTTGTCACAAACTCAAAACTTCTACTACTTCTTTGCAATCCAATCATGTAAACCTTTAATATTTTAAACTATGATTATTTGATTTATATAATACGATCAATAGTTTGAAATATCAAAGGTTTACGACATTGGGTTGCAAAGATAAAGGGATTATAATATCAGAGTTTGTGGCAAAGACTCAAATTCTTTATAAAAAAATATATCAGTACTTTGCCAATTACTCCTTTTAAACAGAATCTAGAATCAATGTACAAAATGTAAAAACATGACCTGCGCGCAAGGGCTACAAAGTCCGCGGATTGAAAGATTTATGCATATTTTTATTTTTTTTTCGGTAGATAGATATGGGAGGGAGGGTGAGATTAAATTTTCAAAATATTTACTCACGATCTGTGTATGTTTAACTAGCTTAACTTTTTACTTCCGCAAATTTTACTTTAAAATGCGTGTGTCATTGAATCCAAATTAAAGAATGACGATGCAAACTATTCCTCCCCCCCCCTCAGATTTCCAGCTACAATCTACATTTAAATAATGTTATTCAAAGTAGAATGTAAAGTTGTATAGGAATAAAGAATATGCGAAATTGTTTTATGTGAAAGAAAAGAGATTTTGCAAAAGTTTACTATCTCGGAAAAACAAAGTTAAATTGAAAGGATTTTGCGAAACAACTTAAATTTATGATAATATTGCAAAGTTGAGATTTTAAAAGAACAACGATAGAATTCTATCTTTGAAGAAAATTTTCATATTTTACTATCATTTTTGATACAGTAACTTAAAGTTTAGATATACCAAAGTTGCATTTTATTTCTAAAACATTACATAGCTAAACATAAATAGTAAATACTAAAACATTGGGCATCATCTTCATTGACCATCAATCATACAGATTGTTTATTTATCCGTAATATCCGTATCCATATCCATGACCGTATCCATGGCCGTATCCATATCCGTGACCATATCCATAGCCTCCATATCCTAGACCGTAGCCTCCATAGCCATAGCCGGCATCTGCGGACCTCTTTCCGAAATGATGTCCATAGCCTCCATAGCCATGTCCTAGACCGTAACCTCCATAACCTCCATAGCCTCCATAACCTCCATAGCCATAGCCATGACCGTAGCCTCCATAGCCACCATACCCGTAGCCAGGCTCAGCATCCGCATCAGCATCTGGACTGGCTACAGCATCAGCATTGGCTACAGCAATGGCTTCTGGATTGGCTCCAGGAACGGGTTCAGCTGATCGCCGCACATGACGAGCCTCCCCTATAACAGCTCCCAGAACCAGAAATCCGATAATCATCTAAAAGTATTTGAATATATTACGGAAAGTTACAATGTGGAATTGTTCAACAAATGTGTAGTTATACTTAAATGAATCTGTAAATAATTATTAACGGTAACAAGCGGAAGGATATTTATTTGGTTTGGAAATTGGTAACTTCTACTCTTAAGTGTGTCTTTACGATTTTCAGAGATATATCGGTCCTTACAGTTGCAAAGTCAAATTTTCTAATTCTTATACCTTTGCAACCTAATTGTGTAAACTATAGATATTAAAACATACATTATTAGATCTAACAGAATTTATAGTTTAAGATATCTAGGGTCTACGACTTTGGATTGCTAAGATATAGGTATTTTTAAAAAATATTTTGTGAAAATCTAAAGTGATCACTACTTTTAAAAAGCTGAAGAAAGACGACTTTTATCCAGCTCAGAAAACTTTTATACTTACAAAGCACTTCATCTTGCAAGCTATGAAGCTGTACTGAAGATTAAGGGGCACAGTGAAGCTTTTATACGAAACCCCTCCCCCACATCCCCTTTATACCTCCACTCCTAGAGGTTTGAGAAAAGGGCATGAGAAGAAACACTTTTTGGAATTAATTACGAGAAAACAGTTAACCAAGCACATTACGAACTGGACTCTCTGAAATTTACTGACATTTAAAAATACTCAACCTACAAAAAGACTACCAGGGGTTATTAGGGGGAGGGGGCTATGGTACCCAGGGGTATTCATCCCCCAGTTTGGGAGGGGTTGAGCCCCTAAGGGAAGTTAAAAAGCCCCCTACCCAACACAGGAAAATGGTAATACGGAGGGAAAGAGGCTTTCGATGCCAAGTATACCCTGTCTAATAGAATGAATCATCAGTTTTGAAAAAGCCGTGTCTTGAATCCATAAACAAATTAATTTTCTTTAGATTTTTCTGTCTATTTATATCTGTCTAATTATATATCTTACCATCTATATATCTTTCTGTATATTTATATCTGTCTAATTATATGACACAATGTATTATCTTTCTGTATATTTATATCTGTTATATATCTTACCATCCATCTATCTTTCTGTATATTTATATCTGTTATATATCTTACCATCCATCTATCTTTCTGTATATTTATATCTTTCTAATTATATCTTAGCATCCATCTATCTTTCTGTATATTTATATCTGATTACCATCTATCTATCTTTCTGTATATTTATATCTGTCTAATTATATCGAGATATATTTATAACTTTTATGCCAACATAACATCTCTTAATTTGATCAAAAATATGAAAAATATCGTCTTTTTCTGACACAAAAGTGAAAAGTATTAATTTCTGTGAATTTCTCCGGCCGTTGTTTTTTTTTTTTGCAAATAAACCGCAAATGAAAACAACAGTTAAAGAAACAAACACATAGATGTCTTATTCAAACTTGATCAGAACAAAGCTAATACCAAGGTACTGTTTAAAAGCGGACATATTGCCATCTTTGCATGGAGGGTAACTTAAAATATTACGCTTACAGTCCCTTTAATGAGAATTTATAAATTGTTTTTTTTTTAATCTTTTGTATTCTAGGGGTGGATTACTGGTTGGAGACAAATTTACTTCTATTAAGAAAATTCAGGTATACAAAAATCTTTAAAAAATTCAACAAGAAGTTTTTAAATCGTAACTATTTTTAAAACATAGCTTTTCATATATTATCATTATTATTATCATTATATTATTATTTTTATATTGTTTTCATGATATTGCTAGGATATCAAAGAGAATGTTGTTAAAACTGAGGCTGTCCAGGATATGGGAGATATTCGATCAAAGGTAATTGATCAAGTCCAAATAAATCAGTAATTCATTAACAAAAAAAAATCAATTAAAAATTGATTAACAAATAAATCCATCAGAAAATATTTCTTAAAAAATAATTCGGAAATTGAGTAATTAAGAAATTAATCAGATATTGAATAACAGATAAATCAATCAGAAATTGATTGACAAAGAAATCAATCAGAAATTGATAAACAGATAAATCAATCAGAACAGAGAAATCATTTAAAAATTGATTGACAAGGAAATCAATAAGAAATTGATTAACAAAGAAATCATTTAGCAATTAATTAATAAAAGTGCAATCGGAAAATGAGTAACAAAGAAAGATCAATCAGAAATTAATTGACAATAATAAAGAAATCCATGAGTGATTGATTAAAAAAGAAATAATTAGAAATTTATTTAGAAGTTAATCAATCAGAAATTGATAAACCAAAGAATAATTGCCATAACATTTTCTCTATTTTCACCTTTAAACTAATTTCTTAACCAAACCGGATGTTATCATTTAAAAGAAATTATAACACATTTTTTCACAACATTCTGAAATCTTTTTTTGAGATCTAGCCTATAATCTATCTTTCAACGGTTACATAACTTAGGAGCAAGTTTATTTGCATATATAAAACTTTTCGCCCACTCTCATTTTTTTCATCAAACTGCGTTGTGTGTTGTTCAATCTTTACTTTTAACATAATTATGAAGGTTGAGGGAAAACCAAAAAACTGTGGTTTTGTTAATCGTCTTTGTTTCTTTTTTTCTAAAGAAACATTAATTAACATTTTCAAAAGGTTAAAATGGATTAATGGTGAAAAACTCTCAATTCTTATTTGATAAGGTTAAAAAGTTGTAAAAAGATGCTTAATTAGGTACGGTGGGAGGCGTTTATAATACTAGAATGAAAACGAATTCTTAATTTAATTTTTGATTGTTAACAAGCTTTTTTCGAATTACAAGTTTACAAGTAATCAAAGAGAAGCTTTTTTGATTGTTACATTTTTTTTGACTTTTATGTTTTTGTGTAATAAAGCTGTTTAACAACTTAATTTAAATCAAAATTGAATTCTAAAATCGTCTTCAATATATAGATATAATCGCCTGCCACTGTATCTTGTGAAAAACCCCGTTAAGCGTAATTTAAAGTGACCCTTTAGAACACTCACCTAACCATTTATCTTGTATCAATTTTTGGGAGATATTGAAAAAAATTTTAGGTTTAAAGTATTTATTTCTGATATTTCTTACATGCTTTCCTAAAGTAAAAATGCGGGAACAACTTTTGAAGATCTCAAATAAAAAATATCAGTTTTTAAAATTATAAATATTGCTATCCAGTTAATACTTGATCAGACCTGCAACATTGTCATGGGTACTATTGTGAATCCGACATTGTCATGTTTACGCGAGGGTCACAAATGAAATTTATACGGTTTGTACTATTCTTTTAAAAAGCTTTTGAAGAACAAATGGGGTTAGGGACGTAAATATATATATTTAGATTTATATATCTCACATGGCCTTATCATGATATCATCTTTGACGCCTATATTTTGTTCTATATATAATGCTCTGCCTACTTAATGCAATTCATTCGCCTACGCTCTGCATGCAACAGCAAGAGCTTAAAAAACTTATTCTAAAGGTAAAACACCAGGGAAGGTACGCGCTCCCTTTTTTTGAATGGGTTATTAAAAAATCTAAATAGTCTATGGGCACTGCAGTAAACGACTTTTTAGTGTTAAATATTATTATTTATTTATTTTTTATAAAAAATGTAGTCTTACGAAATAACCCACTTTAAAACGTAAAATAGTCCCTTCAATTTTTTTTATAGTCAAGCTTTAGTCGATCAAATAATCACATCTTAGAAAAGTCGTTAATAAAGTCCCCCGTCCATCCCCCCCCCCCCTTCCCTTATCATCTATCTTCCTCTGTTTTGGTTGGATACAGTAATAACCAGAAAACAATGGAATATATAGACGACATTTTAGCTATACTGTAGAGTGTCTGAGGTTGTTACGAAGCAAATTTGTTTTACATGACACTTATTAAATCACTTATTATAAGTAAAATGTGACTGTTTACATTGTTCAATTGTTGTGTCCTAGATCTTGTGTCTTATGTCTAAAAGCCGTCTTTCTCTTTCAGAGTGTTCTTGTTATCACAGTTTGTGTTTTTTGAAAATAAGTTTTACTCTAATATTGGACGGTTACCCCCCGAAATAATCCACCTAGATATGGAGTATCTTAACTTAAGTTAAGAGAGGGGAAACATCACAGATCACATAGATAGGACGGGGTTACCCACAAAACTTGAGACTTCAGAGACAACTATATATAAATATATGCACGGTTTTCTTCAACTGTAAAGTGTAAATTTGTATATTCAAGAAAAAAGACTTAATTTAACCTTAGGATTGTTTTATCATATGAGTATCAGGTCATTTTAGCAGTCTCAATCTTTGGGGTGACCCTGTATCACTAGAACAAAACACCTTCTATTCGCCGCGCCGTATGGGTGAAACGGCACCCAGAGCTGAAAACTTTAGAATGATGAATATCGAGATTAATGTTTGATCTTCTCTTTTTCTGAATCTTCAGATTATTATAATCTTTCTCCTCTAAAGTGCATAAAATTCTACCAATCAGATTGTACCAAAGAAAGGATTAAGAAAAATAAAGTATTTAAAATATTTTCTTGAAAGAATCACGCAACCTCGATATGAATAATGAAGTAAAGATTTTGGTTAGACCCTAGGTAAAGTCTTGTATCCATATGATAAAAAGGGTAACATAAATGAAAGATAAGGTAGGGTTGGTTTTGGAAAATTTCTAGGACGAGCGCCGCGGCTAGGACAGACCATGGGGATAAAACAAACATTCACCCACAATAATGTACAAATATATATTGGTTTTAACTATTTAGATATTGAAATGTGCGTGAATTTCAAAAGTTATTATATTTAAGGTTTTAATGTAAAACATTCCAATGGGGACTGGGGGAAGGGGGTTGGGAGACAATAGATTCAAGAAATTATCAAAACGAGTAATTTTTTGTCCCATCTTTGTTAACTTTGTGTGGCGCAAAGTATTTGGTTGGTTGAATTTCAATATATATATGTATATATAGTGCACATATAAAGGGTTTAAAGAGATTACGTTAAGTTTAATGCATTTAAGGTTTGTTTAATACTCAGGCCTAGAATCGAGTAGGCGGACCATTGTTCAGCCTAGAGAGTTAATTAAATTCTATCTGTCTATCTGTCTACCTATCTGTCTACCTACCTGTCTACCTCTCTGTCTACCTATCTGTCTACCTATCTGTACGTCTACCTATCTGTCTACCTATCTGCCTACCTATCTGTCTACCTATCTGTCAACCAATCTGTCTATTTCTTTATCTGTTTATCTGTATCTCCATCTACCTATCTTATGAAATAGATTTTCACTTCTGAAAGGGGGAAGGCTAAGCCCCTATAGCCCCATTCCCCAACGCCTCCCACTGTATACGGTGTTGAATACTCCCTTGGTTATTTTAGTTCAATGTGTTTTGAATATTCTAACTGTTATATATTTGAAGGATGTTGCGAGAGTACTTAAAGAAAAAGAGGATTTAAGGTAAAACAAACCTTTTAAAACCTTTTCTGATATTTTTTCAAAAATTTATATTTAAAGTTTTTTATTCTTAAAAAACTTAAAATATATTTTGCTTGTCTGTCTGTTGATATGTTTGTAATCAATAAACATAAAAACGGCTGTCTGATCGGGCCCAAATTTTGTATGGGATATATATGATCCCAGGGAAGGTTTATTGATGATTAAAATTTCAAAATCAGCCTCCAACAAATTTGATTTTATATTAATTTTTGAAAATCCACGATTTTTTTTGATCCGTGAACTTTTTTATTGTTAATGTTTTACAATGCATACAAAGAGAAAATAGAAAATGGGCGCGAAGCGTCCTGAAATCCCAGTGTTATAAAGTTTACAATGCGTTGATAAAAATATTTTTCATCGTTTTAGAGATTGTACAGGGTTACCCACAAAGGATGATACTTAATGACGACCTTTAAAATGTTTAAATACTACGATTTTAAGGTTAAAAGTCTCATCCTTTCTGGATAGCCATGCAACTGAAATTATTTGATAACATTTATTAAAGAGATTTTTACTCTTTTCGATTTTATCAGTAAACCAATTATATGGTTTACGAGAGATATAAAAAGAGAATTAAATACATTGTATTCATTACTTTTCTGTTAACATTGGAACTTTTAAAGGAAAAGTTTATTCCATTCAGCTGCTGTATAAAAACCGCCCGTACTAGACTCAAAAATTATCTACAGGGTGCCCCAATAAACATGAGAATTCAGTGACGAATTCAATATCGTCTTTCACAAACATAATATTATTATGTCTGCTAGAGTTTATTTTATGAATACGGTGAATGGCCGTAAAGATGTGTCTACTCTATTGTGTCTTTGCAAGATAAACAGTAAAGATGGACAAGTTTACTCTGTTTGTTTACTATAGGTTTCAATATACTAAATCGAAGAATTATTTGAAAAGACGATATCGATTTCGTTACTGAATTCCCATGTTTATTGGGACACCCTGTGCCTGTGGCCTAACAGACAATACCTTCATAATGCAGTTGCCGGAAGTTCGGATGTATTTTTGAGGTCTAAAGAAGGTGGTTTTTACTCGATTCTCTGCATAGTATTGTTGGACAGAAAAATAATTGCATGTTTCTTCAATATGCTGTTTAGTTTACCCTGATATTAACCAAATAAGTGAACGGTCCCTTTAAATAAACTTACTTTTTAGAAAATATCTGCGCCCTAAGGAAACTACAGCTTTGGTGGTTCCCCGCTTGGTTCAAAATAAGAGGTTTTTAAAAACATATTAAAACATACAAAAAAAATATATATAATTCTTTCTTTTTTTTTCTTCTTTTTTTCCCTTTTTTTTCTTCTTTTTTTTTAATTAAAATGTGAAGTTAAAAACTGGAATATAATTTTTTCTAAATATTAATTTTTTTGTCAGAAATCATCGAGTTATTACCGATCAAGAAGACGTGCAGGAGAGAACCTCAAAAAATATTTTTCAAACAATCAATCAACCAATCAATCAATCAATCAATTAATCAATTAATCAATTTCTCTTAAACTTTTTAAAATGATTAGTCCAGTTTCTAGAAATCTAATTATGAACAAAAAGTACTGACCCCGAAAATCGGAAGAAGGATATTTCCAATTATAATCCTAGTCCAGATTTACCGTCTATTGTCTGTATAGTGAGATAACCTGAACCAGATAACTGTAGAATAGAGGGACAATATTATGCTGTTAAGTGAATTTGTTGTTTTTACAAAGCAAATAGCTTTACTAGTAAGATATTAAATAAATTATTGAATGAAATGGGTCTGTTTACACTGCACAATTGCTGTGCCTCATGTTAATTAGACTATTAAAAGTCATTGTTTGAGTTTAAAAGTCGACTTACTATTCCAGAGTTTTCTAGTTCTCACTGTATATATAAACTGTACAATGTGCCCTGCTCCGTTCTTCAAATACAATAGAGTTTTCAGTAGAAATGATTTAAAGTTTCTGAACATTATATGCTACAGTTAAGTTCATTAATATAAAATGACATCTGAAAATTTATAAAATTTCGTATTTCTTACTTTCTATTAATAGAATGCTGCAGATATTTAATTTTAATTAAATGATTATATGGAACTCTTTAAGACTGTTTCCGCATGTTCATGGCTATTTATTTATTTTTAAAACTACTGAAATTTACGTATTGGAATTTGTCAAGACGACATTTCATAATTTTTTTCAATGACTTATCATCTCTGGGTTAAATTTTATAAAATGAGGTTTTCTAGGAACGGAATTGGTTAAACGATGGAAAGGTGAAAAAGTTTTAATTTATTTAAATATTAAATTATCCATTTCAGTGAAAACTTTTTAATCAAAAGTCAATTTATTGCAAACTTTAAACCATTATTTACTCTTTAAAGGGACTATGGATAACATTTCAAGAGATCCTCTATTTCTAGAGTGGCATATCTGATTTAGAATAGTACCCTTAACACACTTATCTTGAAGAGGTTTAATTCTGAATCACAATATTGATAATTGATTATTTTTCTGACAAGAAGCCAAGGCTATACTCATTTATATTTTTGATCAGAGACAGCGATTTAAAAATTTCGGCTCTAGCCGTAATTCCAGAGACCCGACTTTAAGACCCGATCTTAGACCCACCTCTAACGACAGCTTGTGTCACGTGATTGATATCTGCAAGATCTTCGGCTCGATTTAAGGAGTTAGGCCCAATGAAAATAAAACCGACCTTGGTTGGTTTTAGTGGAGAATAAGGCTCAATGTTGAGTCTTGTTCTCATAAAAACCCGGAATGCGCTAACTCCTTCCATGAAAATCCTCACAAAAAAAATAATAATAAACCGGTTTTTGAGCTCAATTCTGTGGAAAATAAGATGCAGCTTTATTTTCCCGTGTTTTTAAAATCGCGAGCTCTGATAAAGGATTAATGAGGGTATTGTTTGAAATTTGACAATCCACTCTATAAATGAAGTATCACTAAAAGCATCATTATTTCAGAAACTTATCATTCATGAATTGAAGCATAATTGTTAATTAATTTTCCAGTCAACGAATTTTAGATCTCGACCGAATCTATATAATTAATTTTTTTAAGCTAAGTTGTTTGATTGTACAATATATTTCTTACAATTTAGTAAAAATCTTTTGATTTGCTTTTCGTTCCATATAAAAACTTATTGCATTTTTTTAATAATTTTTTTTAATATTAGATGCAAAATGAGAGGATCAAAACTGAGAAACATATTGAATATGATTCAGATGACACTCCAGACTCAGGTAAAATATCTAAACTTTTAAAAATAGTTTACTGTCTTTAGAACATTTTTTGTTAACATATCTTCTCATAATTTTTTAATGTTTGCAACGGTAAAATGTCAAAGTGTTCTCAGTGCAGAAAGTAGAAATTTGACCAAAAGTAGAAATTGGACCATCAGATGAGAAGAGATGCAGAATTGAGAATTACACATTATGGATGTCTCACGAAACACAACAGTAGCAAGACTACTGAACTGCCGTCTTTTATCTTTTAAATTATTCTTAATATTTCCGGTAATATTATGATATATAATAGGATAATGAATATAAAATAGGAGAATAAATATAAAATAGGTTAATAAATATATATTATAGGAGAATAAATATATAATAGGATAATGAATATAAAATAGGAGAATTAATATATAATAGGAGTATAAATATATAATAGGAGAATATATATATATATATATAATAGGAGAATAAATATATATTAAGAGAATAAATATATAATAGGAGAATATTGTGGTTATTATTTTAAGAATCATCATAGGTGTGAAAGTAGGTTGACTACTGCAAATAACTTTAAAGATCTAAGACGACCTTCAAGTCGTCTATTTTCCGTTAAGATTCTACACTGTATTCTTACAGAATTAGATAAAAGATCGCCGCTGCAGATCAGCTTCATCAAAATTACCTCATGGGATTAAATTTATAGACTCAACCAGGCACTTGATAACTTCAGCAGTGAACTAGTACTCTTCCAGCAATTTTTTATTTTTTTTTGTCCCAAAAAATGTATCAGATTATTTGTTTTAATTTGGTGCCTTTTATAAATAATAAAAGGCAAAATTTTTTTGGATAAAATTTGATGGTATCTCAACAAAAAATTGAGCCCGATCGGTTCAGCCGTTTTGATGCTTATTCAATACGCCCAAACAACAAGTCAAATATACATAAATATTATATAATATAATTGAATATGTTTTAGGTTCAAGTTCTTCAAAGTCTGAAATATCTCGTCACGCTCTGGAACCAGAGATATATAAAACAAGGCAGGCTATAGAACAATATTATCTAAAGAACTGAAAACTAAAAAGAAACTTAAAAACGATAAGTTTTTGCAGCAAAATCAAATTTTTTAATCCCTAGATCTTTACTTCCTTAAGATATTGAAAGCTTGATTATTTTATCTAACAGTATTCATGGTCTACGAAATCGGTTTGAAAGGACAACATATAACAAATTTGAGTTTTGGGGCAAAAAGTCAGCTCCTTAATGATAAAATACGGTTAACTTTTAAAATTTCAAATGTTTAAGAAACGGGACTGATTTGAATCAATTCTATTGATGTAAACTCTCATTAAGAGTCAGAAAATCAATTAGAATCACTTTTTTCTAAATTAAATTAAAGAGAAAACTTTATTAAAAAATTCAAGTTTGTGGCAAAATTGTTCAAAATTAAGGTGGACAGCTAAGATCCGTGTTTAAAACCACTCTTCATAGAAATTTGATACAAAAAAGTAAATAAAAAAGTTAATCCGGTTTTGTTTACTCTTGAAATAATTACATTTTTTTAAATCAAGAACTTTGAAATTTTGAGTTAAAAAGGATGGCAAAATACATTATTGTTCTAATTTTTTCATGTAATGAATTGCCTGGGTGAACTGCAGAAGTTTCCTATACTCTCCTGAGCGCATTATTAGTCTCAATTTATTTTTGATAATCAAAGTTTGTGTTTGAGTAAATGCTCTTTCTCAAGAATACTTTATTTGATCAAATTCTCTGCATTTCCGCCTTAAACATTTTATTGGAACAATTTACTCGGAAAAACAAAAGTCATGACATTTATTTTCAACTTTATGAATTCCAAATAGAATTATGAAATGCATTTGATGCGAAAACTTTACACAGTTAAAATTCGTTTTAAAGGAATTTAGAATAGGTTTTAACAGTCAAAACTTGTTGTTTCTAGATTATCAGAGAAATTTCGAAGTACGGGAAACCTTTTTTTGGCCTTATACCTTCAAAAGACATTTCTAAAAGACTGTTAAAGGGATTGTAAGGGTAATCTCTAGTGACCCTTCATATAAAGATGACAATGATCGATTTACAACGGTACAATTTCTGTGTGCGCTTGAGTTCAGACTGAACATAGTGCACTCTAAATTACAAGGCGAGCGGGGTTCGATAAGTTTTCACGCACATAAATCTGTCCTCGACGAACTGTACAGAAAGGTTTTAAGGGCACTCATGTAAATCTTTGCGTAGAGTGTCACATGAAATTAAGCCTACAGTCTCAAAATATTTTTTTGATATTTTTTCTTTCAAAAATAGTTTTTCTTATAGTAGGGGTTAAAACTTGTATCACACTTTCCTATTTCAACCCTAGTGTCAACATTATAAACTTTTTTCAAATATCTAAAATAATCTTGTTTCTATCCCGGTTTAGAAAAGATGAGAATTTTATTGAATATTTCAAAATAGATCGGTCCAATGGAACTGAAAAGCTAGTAAAGGTAAGTTTTTTCATCAACTTTAATTCTCTTAAATGATATTTTTCTTAACTTGAAAATTTATTCATGAACTTTCTTTTAAATGATATTTTTCTTAACTTGATATTTTTTTATGACTTTTTTGCTCAATATTTTTTTTAAGAAATTGTGCATTTTGCCAAAATTTGCAGTTATATTAAAAATTTTGAATTTTCCTGAAAAGCATAGTTTTAATTTTTATCATGAAATACCCCCATTAACACCTTGTGAAGCAGGGTGTTCCAATGTTATATATTTAAATATTTATATTCAATGCAACGAAGAACCCAGAATATTGTGAAATTATAGGTATACACTACATTTAAATAATATTATGTAAAGTTGATGCTAGTTTAAAGCAAATAGACCACAGGCCGAATTTAAAGAATTTAAACAGGGGCTCAAATATGAGACGCGGTTCAAACATAGTTGTTTCCACTTGAAACTGTATTAATTGTTTCAAGATTTGAGCCGGCGCTCAATTTTAACTATGCTTTTATCGGATCAGCGACGCGGTTTAAATTCTTTAAATTCGGCCTCTGTGTAACTTTGCTTAAACGATTACAGCTGTTAATATGCATCCCAACCTTAACCAAACAACTAAAAACCTTTATGAGATGTGATACCATCTAATGATGAAAGAACTCACACATATTTTAGTAAGGTTGGGTAATGCATAAACATAGATTTTACCACTAACGGAAAAATGCCTAAAAGCAAAAAGTGGCTAAAATTTTAACTAATAAATTAAAGTGTCTGTGAACAGTACTGCTGTGTTGCATCTTTAGAAAAATAGAATGTCGTCTTTTTTCAACAGTTGTATGGCCTGTGGGTGGCACTATACTTGTCTAGGTTGGAGATGGCGCTCATTATGTTTCTGAATCCAAGGAGGTTGATTTAGAGGAGGAACGTTTATTACAATCTGCCACCAGGTAGAAATATCAGAATGTACTCTTTATACCAAAATGGAAGTACATGCTTATTTAGGAGTAGAAGTTAAATGGCTGCCAAATAAGCGACATTAAACCGCTCATTTGTTTTTAATTTAACTGCTACTGTCACAGAAGGGATTTTGCTGAATATAAGCGATATTTTCAAATTTCGTAATTTAGAGATTAAAACAATAGCCACATATAAAAGGCTGACGTCAAAAAATTATCGATGGTGATCGCGAATCTTCTTGTTTCTATAGCTGTTGCGTCTAAAAAGAGAAACAACTCCTATCGAAGAACGTAGCCTCCATACAACTTCAGAAAGATGCAATGTTCGACTCGGATCGTAAAAAATCAATTTAATTCCAAACAAACCATTCAGGCATTACAATCTATAATCATCGATAATTTTTAACACATTCGTATAAAGTTGACATTCATAATATTTATGTTTCATATACGATGTACTTTAAACGACGATTTTTTATTCAGCTAGTTATCTTTGGAGTCTCAATTCCACGTGGAACTCACGAAGCATCGAGACAGAGACACCTATAGCGGCCAAATAAACTTCATTCAAAGTATATTATAAAAGAAAGAAGGAAAAAATATTTTGAAATATCAACTTTATACGAATGCGTCGAAAAATTATCGTTGATTATAGGAATAATATTTGAGTGATTTGTCTGGAATCAAATTGATTTTTTTACGATCTGAGTCGAATGTAGCAACTTTCTGAATTTGTATGGACGCTACGTTCTTTGGTATGAGTTGCTTTTAACAATTTTCTCCTTATAGACGCAACAGATAGAAGTAAGATTTAAAGTAACAATCACCATCGAATATTTTACGACGTAAGCCTATACCCCTTTCATTTTTTGCGAACACTACCTTTAACATGGTATTTTGAGAATAAAATATTTTAATTTTAATTTTTTGCTCTTTTCTTACTTGTCGAATTTGTTTTAGGTCACCTAAAATAACTCATGTAACTGCTCAAACAGAGAGAAGGTAAGATTTTAATAATAATCAGTGAATTTGTAGAAATGTTTTTTTTCCTGTGAATTTAAATTTATTTCTAGAAATAAGCTAAATCTTAAATATACTTTTGAATTCACAAAACTTTTTTTGTGGTTCAGCCACTTCGCCTCAGCTTGAACCGGCGACAAGAAAAGCGGTTTAATCACTTCTGCGCGATTCAGCTACTTTTTGCTATTTATTAAATCTATTTCCTACTATTAAAAAGGCAATAGCTCAAAAATTTCGATATTTCAAAGTTTAAAGATAAAGATAAAGATAAAGATAATAATTTTTGGAAAAGGATCTTATAAATTATAAATTATAAATTTATTTGACATTTAAATAATATTTTAAACACCTTTCCTCCTTTCCTGTAAACATTCTTTTAAAGCATACTGCATTTAATCCTTCTAGCAATTTAATGAGCGGGGGAAGGCAAGCAGCGGTCATAAGCCACAACATTTTTCATTTCCATGCCACATAGTAGCTTTTTTGTTTTCCGGCAGCTTTGAGCTACAACGGTACAGTCTTCCATGCTACAGCATTTAAGTCTTCCGGCAGTTATTACGTTTTTAAATAATGAATTTAGTGCATTGAAATTGTGATTTTTCAAAAATCCAGCGACGTTATGCAAACGATATAAATAAAAAAAAACTTTTTATTTAAGTTTTAAATTGTAATAATGTAAACTGCTAAACTTATTTCAATCTTTCCTCTAAAATAGCTAAAAATTATTTTTGAAAACATTATGAACAATAAAAATAATGCACCATAACAAATTCTGAAAGTACAGAGTGCGCTATGATAACCGAAAATTTACATTATTTAACGAGAAAAATTGCAGAATAAGTATTTTTTTTGATGAAATCTTAAACGTTTAGGTAATGAGAGTTAATATTGCAATTTTTCTCATCTTTTCTTATTCTTTAGACTACCCCAAACAATTTGTCTCGGTGCCCACAATGCGTAAAATGATGTAAAAGTTTCTTTGTATAATGTAAAACAGTTTATAACCTGAACAGTGAAAACACAATTCATTGATCTTTAATAAACTTATAAAATGTCATAAAGGTATGTTCTTTGCGTGTAAATACGGCAGGATTTTAAGAAATTCTAATTTCAATGCCCTAACTTTATCATTTAAAAACGTAGTAACTGCCGGAAGACTCAAATTCTGTGAGACAAGAAAAAATATATGTGGCATTAAAGGGAAAAATGTTGTGGCTTCTGGCCACATGCCTCCCCCCGCTCATTTGATCGTGTATATTAGAAACAAAAATAAGAAACATTCAACTGTAATCAACAAAAATAAGAAACATTCAACTGTAATCAACAAATATAAGAAACATTCAACTGTCATCAACAAAAATTAAAGTTTATTTTTTTTCCAGACCCAAAATTCCCGTTACGCATACAGACTCATGGCTTGAACGCCATTTTGGATCAAGCAGTTCATCTCTAAGGTAAAGTGATCCAAAGGATTGCAAGCATTGACGTTAAAACTGTTCAGCATTTTGTAAAATAAAGCAAGAAGCAAGCGTTTTATTTTCATAAAATGTTCAAGTAAAACGTGATTTAGAGAGTTAAAACCAAAGACCAAGGCGTTGCGACGGTTTTAAAACTGGACATTTTTTAATCCCTCTTTGCAACCCGTTGGTGTAAACATTTTATATTTAAAATTTAGTCTTTTTGATTCAATAGAATTTATAGTTTGATAAATCGAAGGTGGTTGATATCGGGTTGCAAATATAAAAGGTTTACAAAACCTGAGTTTGTGTAAAAACTCAGTTCCTTTCAAACAAATTTGTTCGCCAAAAGTTTCTTCAAAGCTGTCTTCGTTAAGGAACTGAACTCTAACGTTTTAATCCTAACATTTGTGTAAACTGATGTCGTAGACCATGTATCTTACAAACTATGAATTCTGTTAGATCCAGTAGGATCAGAGTTTGAAGTATAAAAAGGTTTCAAATAGCCATTTGGATTAGTTAAAAAAGATTTCAGTGAATATTATCATTTTATTTCGGAGAATATCAGATAAAAAATTACTGATTAATTTTCTTTCTATCCATAGTAGCAGTTCTGTAGATCTAAGCCGAGGAGGCGGAGGAAGTGGACTCCGCCGCTCCGCCTCAATCTGCGATATTCGCCCTCTCACGGAGACTAGTAACGTCTACTACGCAACAGTAAGTTTTTCTAAATATTTTAAAACGTTTTTAAGAACTATATTTTCAGGGCGCTTCGCGCCCCATTTCCTTCAAAAAATGTTAACTTTTAACTGGTGTTGCTTTGAAAGTCGGTCAATTAAAATTATTTTTAAATTTTGACTGATTTTTCTTTTTGAATTGGCGCATTTTCAAAAATTTAATTCCATCTACTCTCCAGGAATTTTTATCTCTCCGATTTTGATATTCAATAAACCTTCCCTGGGTTCCTTTGAAGTCCTACACAAAATTCGGGCCCGATCGGTTCTGCCGAGTTGAAAAATATTGGATAAAAACGGACAAACAAACAAAAAGACATGGACTNGATTCTAATCCCCTTGGAAGATATATATTGTGGTAAACCTAGAATTTTCATTAGAACCTCATCAAACATAGACTTAGCAGGATTCTATATAATTTCATTCAAATACAATTTCATTAAAACATAATTTCATCAAAACATAATTTCATGAAGAGATGGGGAAACCGATTCTACCCCCGTGCTTTTCTGGATCAAATTGGGACTGTACTTAATCAGACAACTCTTTTAAGAGTACACTTGTGAATCGGACATTGCAATCTTTGCATTGTCATTTGAAATCACTTTGTATACAGTTCCTTTTAATGTAGAAATAAAGCTGGGAGTCTATCGTAGACCTTATCCACCTTCTATTTAATTTCTAAAGGATGTGTCACAATTTTAAACCTTTGTCTCTTTTTTTTAATATCAATATTTGTACTCCAAGACTAAACATTGATTATTTTTAATTGTGGTTCTATAAAGTAGCTCGTAGAGGGATTTTGTTATAGATGATGAAATGGAGGTTTGATTGTAATTAAATTCGTAAATTTGAACATTTGACCCTATTCCTGCTTGGGAGGGGGTCAATTTGACTCCCCCCTTGTAGTTTTTTTTACATAATTCAAGAAGTATTGGTCAGAGGCTGTTGAAATTTTCTGACTTTTCCTACATACCCAAAACCCTCTCTTTAAGCCTAAAACCGGGCTTTACTAACTGCCTGGATGACTGCTTTTTCCTGTAACAAACTAAATCTTTCTTTTGACCCACTTCCACTTGTCAGATTTTGATAAAATTTAGCTTTTTGGAAAGCCTATGACATAAGGAAACGAATTGCACAGGTTTTACGAGAAAAAAATTTACATTTTTTGCAAACAACAGTTGTCAAAGGAAATTTGCACATTTTTAGTTTTTCTTGATTAAAAATCAGGTTATTTAAAATTTTGCAAAATTTTTTGCATATTTGAAATGGCATGGTAAAGGGCTTTTCAAAAATGTATAATTTTTCATTTTTTGGACAAATTTTTTTTTGCAAACATTTTTACTATATAACTGGATTTTGCGATAAAAAATTCAATTTTTGTAAATTTGCAAATTTTGTTGAAGATTCTAAAAGTAGAACACAAGAGCTTTCCAATGATGTATCATTTGTCATATTTGGACATCAAACATGGAATTTAGAGGGGGGGGGGGTCAAATTGACCCCCCCCCAGCATATCCTGGTTTTCAAGTACCCCAGCATAGATAGGGTTAAGATAAATAATGAAAGAATGTTTTATAAGTTAATTATCAAGTACAAATATTTAATATATTTTATTTCTATAAAATGCATTTACAACTGTACCCTTCAAATATTGCTCTAATAGGGAATGAATGAATTATCAATGAAAGGTTAAGCTGTTGTGAATCCACTCTCTTATCTTAAATGGAGGATCACTTGAAATTTCGTCTACAGTCCCTTAATCAAATGTTTTTTAGGTTCGCAAAACTGGGAAAGTTCCTGTTCCAAGGTACTATTTTAAATGATTAATTTTAAGATTTTGTTAAAAAGGAATTGAGTATTTGTCACAAACTCAAATTTTCCAATTGCTACAACTTTGAATCCTAATTGTGTAAACCTGTGATATTTCAAACTTAGCTTGATTGATCTAACAGAATTCATAGTTTGAAATATTTGAGGTCTAGGACATTAGGTTGCAAGGGTATAGGGGTTAGAAAACCTGAGTTTGCTGCATAAACTCAATTCCTTTAATGTTTACTCTACAAAATAAATAGGATTGTTTTAATGTTTCCCAATTAATTACTTTCTTTAAAACGCTTTAACTTCTCGTTCCAGGTGTTTTACTTTGACAATTTTGTTCATAAAGTAAAAGTGAAATCAGGACAAAATGCACCAATAGTTTATGTGAGAATGTTTATTGCATTGTTTGTTGGGATTGTACGGTGGTAGGCGATTATATCAATATAATGAAAGACGACTTTTTTAAGCAAGCTTAATTGTTAACAAGCCTTATTTACAAGTTTACAGTAATCAAAAAAGAAGCTTTTTTAACGTTTTTGTGTAGCCATACTGTTAAAACCCTATCACGGTTGGGGGGGGGGCGAAGTTCCAACCCCCCCTCCCCTGTGGTTTATTCTGGTTAACTTAAAAATGGCCTATATTAGAACGCTAAAACCTCTTCACTTTTTCACCATTATAGTTGTTTATAGTCCAATTTTTTTATGCATAGGGTAGGGTGAAGAACGGTCAAACGGCGGGTCGGTGTTTAAGAAAATCAGAAATGGCTAATAACTTTTTTATTAATTATGCTATAGGACTTGAAAATGACTTGCAAAATGGACATATAATAACATGCGGCATATTTTGATATTAATAATTTAATAGTAATTATTTTGAAATTTATTTCTACATACTTTTTGAACTTTTTAAAAATCCTTTCTTACACCCTAACTAGTACAGTTGGACTATGGACATGTATCACACTCCCATATCTCAACTTAAGGGTAAAATCATAGGGAGGGGGGTGGAAAACAACCCCCTCCCCAACAGTTTATATTAGACAAAAATAGACCAATTGGGATAGGTTTAAACTAAAAGCTTGATCAAAATTGAAATCGAAAGTTGTCTTCAATATATTGGTATTATCACCTACCACCGTATCTGTATTAAAATTGTTCATATTTCAGAAGAAAGAAGAAAGATGATTACTATCTGGAGAATAGAAGAAGCGCTCATTTTACATCTTCCGGTCACCCTGTCCCCCCTCCCAGGTTAGATATATCCGGGGTTACATATTTTTATGACAGATCATCCCCCCCATCCCCAGAGGGAAACATAAAATGATTTAACAGTCATAATATAAACTAGCTTAAGTGCCCGGCGTTGTCCGTGGAATTGAAAAAAATCTTTAGAAAATTAAATTTTTTTTAAAAATTGTTTAAAACAAATTTTTGCATTTGGTAACCCAAGGATATTCAAGGGTTATTTAAAAAAATGTCAGCCAATTTGGTTCAGCCGTTTGGCCAGCTATAGTTAACAAATATATATTGATTTATATAAGTCAAGAGCTTTACTATATATAAAAACTTATACCTTCATAAAAAATTCAGTCAACCACACCACTCTAAACAATTTATCAAGATATAAAATTTTTTATTTAAAATTTTTTTTTTTTTTTGAAGGAGAAAGAAGAACACTGATTCGGATTCTTCACAATACATGTCTAGAGAGGTAAAAGTAAACAATATGTACTGCAAGTACTTGCCTAGGGTAGTAAATTTAAACAATACGTACTGCAAGTACATAGCTAGAACTATGTTAACTGTACTGCAAGTACATGTCTAGAGAGGTAAATGTAAACAATATGTACTGCAAGTTCATGTCCAGAAAGGCAAATGCATGTAAATGACTACAGAGGTAAATGTTATATGTACTGCAAGTACATGGCTTTAGAGGTAAAAAGTTAAATACAAGTACAAAAGCAAATGGTTCTTAATTTTAACAATTTTTATAAACCTTTAATATTTATATTTTTTCTTTATGTCTCTTTACATAATTTCCGAGTAAGTTCAACATTTTATAAAATTCATAAAATCAATTTTTAACTTTTTTCAATGATATACAATTATTTCAGAATAATATCTACGAAAGCACTTCCGGAACTCTGAGACGAGAAAAAGTAATTTTTTTCGGAAAAAACTTTTTTTGACCACTTGAAAAATTGGAATTTATCTGGAAAGAAAATTTGTTGCAAGAAAATTCCATTTTATAAATGAAAATATTTTGTAAAACTTTTTTCCGCATTTTGTATTTTATGATCCCTGCAGAATAACATGTTTCTATTTACACTGATGAAAATAAAAAAAGGTTTATGGTGCATCTGAATATTCAAATCTTTGAAAAATAACAATAAATGAATTTGGAATTGAATAAAATAAGATTATCTTAAAATTGATACAATGTTTTTCCATATCCATGAATGACTTTGATTTAATAATATTATTTTGGTTTTAATCAGAAAAATAGAATATTGGAGCTAAAATAATCAATCTGAAAAAAACTAACAAAAATGTTTTAAAATTGCTAGACAAAATTCGACAATAAGTATTTTGTTATATTTCTCTAGAAACCTGAGTATATTTATGGAACTTTGAAGTATTTTTGTTATATTTATCTAGAAGCCTGAGTATATTTATGGAACTTTGAAGTATTTTTGTTATATTTCTCTAGAAGCCTGAGTATATTTATGGAACTTGAAGTATTTTTGTTATATTTCTCTAGAAGCCTGAGTATATTTATGGACATTTGAAGTATTTTTGTTATATTTCTCTAGAAGCCTGAGTATAGTTATGGAACTTTGAAGTATTTTTGTTATATTTCTCTAGAAGCCTGAGTATAACAATATTACAATTTATTTACATTTTACAATTTTACAATTTGTTTACATTTTACAATATACAATTTATTTACATTTTACAATCTTACAATTTGTTTACATTTTACAATATTACAATTTATTTACATTTTACAATATTATAATATCTTACATGTTACAATATCATAATATCTTACATTTTACAGGGATGATATTGACGAGGTGGAAAACAATAAGAACTCAGTAAACAGACATCATTACTCTTCCAGTCAGAACATTGAATCGTCCCCCCAGTACACAACGAAGCAGGAGGATTCCCTGAGACGAGTTGAGATAGAGAATGAGAAAAACAGACAGAGTAGAAGTGAGGAACAAAAAAGAAGGATTAAACAAGGTGAACACGAACAAAATAAATTTTTTTTAAATCAGGAAACTGCGCTTATAAGTAAAAACCACTTTTTGGGAGAGAATTTTGGAGAATATATTAACATCTGACTTATTATACTGCATAAACATTTTCTTTAATTAAGGAAAGTCCTAAGAGCATCAAAAATGATAAGTATATTATATTAATTAAAGGGAGTGACCGGCCATGTAAGGTAGTTAAACGGAGTATGCAGTGTTGCGGAAAACTTCTTTCGGATTCATTTGAGAGATATTAAACTTTTTGATGATCTGTAAATCCTGAGTTTGAGCGCAAATTCGACGTTCAAAACTCCTAAAAAAACTAATTCTGAAAACGTATCCACCCCCAAAGTAGGAATTTTGAACGTCGAATTTGCGCTCAAACTCAGGATTTACAGATCTTCAAAAAGTTTAATATGTCTCAAATGAATCCAAATGAATGCATACTCAGTTCAACGACCTTACATAGCCGGTCACTCCCTTTAATCAACCCCTTATCTATAATACTTTTAAATTTTGCTTGTTCGTCAGGGTGTTTGTATCCAATAATCGCCAAAACGGCAGAATTGATGTATGGTTTTTAGATAGTTAACATGGAACAATTATGCATAGAAAAAATGACGATTTTTTAGTTTTAAAATCTATCCATATTTATAACAAAATCTGCAAACTTTTGAGTTTTACAATTACAAAAATGGTCGTCTAAAAAGCAACCTTCATACGTTTAAATTGTTGCTGAATGAGGAGCGTATTTAGATAAATATGGCAAATTCCTCACTTTCGATTTACATAAACATTCCCTTTATTATAAATAGAGAAACTTAGTAACATTTTGACATCATGACATTGTTTCTGTTCCATGAACTAAACACTCAAAACAAAGTTTTAAAAACAAAAAAGTTCTAGTAAAGGAAAATATAAAATATCTGTTGAGTCACAAACTAAAAGTAATCCCATTGGAAACCAGATTAATTTCAATCTACAGAGGTGTTATCTGAGCTTTAAAAAATACGACAAATTTGTTTTTCTGAACTGAAAATTGATTATTTTGAATTTTTTTTTTTTACATGATTGACTTGAGGATTTATGCTTATAGAAACATTGAAGGAAACAGACCAGATTCAAAACGTTTAGTTAAAAGCGTTAAAAAGACGACTTTTATTAATACATTGTTGATCCCTCACATGTGTTTTCAAATTACAGGTTTTTAAAGTAAACAAAAGTTAGCTGTAAATTGTATACTTCGTTGACATCTTTATGAGTTGCTGCTGTTTGAAAGCTTAGTGGAAATCAAAATTGAAATCGAAAGTCCTCTTAATTATATTGATATATACGACGAATACCGTACGGATATAAATTTGTTGATTTTAAAAGTCACTATAGTAAAACAAAGATATCTGAAATGGATATTTCTAACATTTATTTAAAAAAAAGAAAGTTTTGAAATATTTGCCTAAGACAGGGTTAAAATTGGTTGGTTTGGAAATTAACAAAGGAATTAATGATGAATATTTGTGGGCACTTCATGGGAGTGTTGTAGAGCTTCATGTTGGTGGAGCAGATCAACAGGAACTGGAACAACAGGGCTTATCAAAATTAGTAGGTAGAGATCGCGGCTTGCCATGCTGGCTTTGAGTGATTATGTTGTCTCTGGAATGCATGATGAACTGTGAACCCTCGGGTATAAGCATGCCTGCTGTGAGCTGAGTATCTGTATCATCATCATGAAGGAGTCAAAAGGCTCTCTGTGTCGGAGCTGTTACTAGCTCTACTCTCCTAACCTGACTGAGGGCTGGGATGTGTAGAGGGGTGGGGAGGGGGAACAAAGGAGCGAGGGTGACATGTGGGCGGACCGGCGGAAATAGATTCATACGTCTTGAAAATAGTCAACGGCATCTGAGTCCATAAAATCGTCTTCCTTATAATTCGAATTTGTGTTAACAAAATTATTTTTAGGAGAAACGAATACTGATAAATATTATTTTGGACACCCTCTTACTACCAGCTCCAGGCAACAGTTTCATCATTCTTCAAACTCCAGGTTTATTACATTTTTTATTCAAAGTTTTTTCTTATGCCCTGGCCTCTAACTCTAAATTTCTTATGATTTGGAAACCTAATAGTTTAACCCTTTGATATTTCAAAGAAATAGAGTCTTTGCCACAAACTCTGATTTCCCAATCCCTATATCTTTTCAGTCAAATGTCGACCTTAGATATTTCAAACTATGCATTTTGTTAGATCAAATAATTTAATTTTGAACTATCAAAGGTCTAAAAGAGCATAAAGGAAAGCTATAGGAATTATATATTTTAAGTTTGTGGCAAAGAATCAAAGAATCAATCTAGCTAGCAAAATTTAATGTATTTTCTTCTCCAGAAGTTACAGCCCCGCTCCCCAGAAAATAGCTCGAAGCTCTAAGATCCATCATCAGAGTACAGGGAACATCTACAGCCAATCAAGAAATTATGGTTCACAACCACACCACCAGGGGTCTGGTAGCATCCAGCCGGTTATACGTAGTTCAAAATACCACCACCAGAGCACCGGCAACATCCATTATCCATCAATGGAGCGGAAGTCCCACCATCAAAGTACCGGAAATATATACAGTTCTCAGACCTTGGAGAAGAGTTCCAAGGTGCTAAGGGGCAGTACAAGTGACATTTACAGGGTTCCACAGACAGCAAAGTATAACAGGTAAGCTCAACCAAAAAATTAGTAATATAAAAATAATTTGCTGAAATACTATTTAAAGCCATGTATTTGGTGTTGTAAATTCAATGCAGATCGAATTTTACGAGCAAAATGTAAATGATATTTATCATAATTATAAAGACCATCTCTTTTTAATCACCTTGAAGTTGTAAAAAGATGAAACTTGCACATGCATATTTTTTGGCCGTATTATATTTAATGCAGAATAGGGTTTTCACGAAATGACCATATTTTTGCGCATAAATCGCAATACGTTTTGTGCGTTTTTGCGCTATGTTTCTGGCGTAATTTGCGCAAAACCGAATGTGTACTGTACAACATCTAACAACGTTAAGGTTTATTATAAAATGTACAAACCAAAAAAAAAAATAAGATATGAGTAAGATAGAAATTTTAAAAAATTAAAAAATTAAAAATTGATGTCTGAATCTTTGTGTGGTGTTAACCTTTGATATTTCAAATCAAAGGATCAAATTTGTATACAACATCAACTTTGAAGTGTCGCAACGCCTTGACTTTTGAATTTACCTCGACAACTCATGTAGACCTAGACATATACATTCTAAAAATGCTCCGTGTCTTCTTCTTGCTTTAGCTTAAAAGGAGTAATTGCCAAAAAACTGCTAAATTTTTTGTGTGAGAGCGTTTTCATCTTAATTTGCAGCGTGTCAATATGCATCAGGTTGCAAGGTAGAGTTTTAGGCAAGTAATCAGTTCATTTTTAAGCATTGCAATTATATTAAAAAAAGTGCAATATCACTAATAATTAATACAGTCTATACCTAGCTATATATAACATTTAGGAGAGAAGTTTGTACCGAAAAATTGATCAAAATAGAAGTACGCAAAAGTGGAATAGCGCAATTTATATTTTTTTTGCGGAAAAATGTAGAGCAACGTAAGCAAAATTTTGTGCCTCCCTTTGCAAAATTTGTTCAAAATTTTTGCAAATAATTATCTCCTTTACACTTTGCTTGTCTGTCTGTCTGTTTTTTTGTATCCAATAAAATTCAAAACGGCTGAACTGATCGGGCCCAAATTTTGGGTGTGACCTCACGTGACCCTAGGAAAGGTTTATGGAGGATTAAAATATTCAAAAATTTGTGTTTTAAAGTTTTTTTTGTTTTATGTAAACTTTTTAAAATGCACGAAAAAATTATTTATTTATAGATAAAGTAGCTAGGTAGTTGAGACATTGCATATTTATCATTTAGTTTTGCAAACCAAGATGTAAACCATCTCACACAAAACTCAAGCAGTATTTTCCCAATTATTTCTTTACATCTGAAGCTAGACGAAAGCGTAGTGTATTTTTTAATGTATATAAATAGGGCCAAAAATAAGTATAAGTGAGTTGGTGTTGTGAAACCAAAAGCCAAGGCGTTGCGACACGTTAAAGTCAAGGCTAAGTTTCATCTAAGTATTAATTTTATTTAAACTCAAGTATATTAAATTTAATGGAGTTCTCAACGTTTTTTCCGAAAAATTCTCATTTATACATATAGTTATATCCCCTTATCAAAGAAGCAGAATTAAATCTTTATCTCAGAAACTCTTCTGTTAACACTCAACACTCGACACCTGATAGTACCTAGTTAAATACAATCCGTCTTATTGAGTTTTTTTAAGTTACAAATTTAATTCTAAAAATGTGCTAGGACATCCTTGGGAAATTGCATATTTGGGAAGTTGCCAATTGGAAAAAATCCTTTGGGGAAAGTACCTAAAATTGTTCATCTAAATAGCTTTTGAGTACGATGAGTTCAGTTATGATCTACATAGAGAAATTTACTTTAATCCAACGTGATACGGTTTGAATTTCTTCGAACAGTTTGCAACAAAAACATTATATTTCTTATTGTCTAGGTCCCGAGATATCTACGCGAGTAGTCCAAAAACAATCTCCAGAGAATCAGATATATCAGCCAATTACAACCAAGGTGAACAAAATCGTAAAATCAAAAATATAAAATTTCTCATTATTTTTATATTTATGCAAATGCCAGGAATATGGCCGTATTGTTTTCTGAAAACCAAGAAGAGTACGACCATATTACTAAATTAACTTGACACGTTTCTCAAACTCAACTTTTCAAATCCTTAAATCTTGGCGACCAGATGGTGTAAATCTTTAAAACTTTAACATTGTAGATTTAGCAGAATTCTGGGTAGAACCAAGATGATCTTTGTTTGGTTTAATAAATTGACTTGACAAGAGAAAAATTAGTTTTATAGGCTATTCTAGCTTTTCAGAGAATCATAAACGCAAAGAAGTTGTAAGATTTTGGTTCAGTCCTTTCTTTAAATATATACATAATGTTTAGGAGAGATATACAGAACTACGCAACGAGAAGCGCACAGTAGTTCTAAACCTAAGGAAATATACGCAACCCCTGTATCAAAAGAAGTTTACGCAACACCGATATCAAAGCAGATTTACGCAACTCCACATTCCAATGATATTTATGGAATACCGGCATCAAAGGAGCTTTTCTCAAGACGGCAACAGTCACATAGAATTGTATATTCGACAGAGTCCCCTACCGGTAATAATTTTAACTATAAACTGTTCTTACAGCTGTATAATAAAGGGGAAAGTTGATTGTTTTTCAAAGTTCCATAAATAAATTTTTTTTAGTATTTTTAAATTTTAAAATGTAAAAAACTATTGTTTTGGCGCCATATTTATGAAGCGAAATATCAAAGACGACATTAATTATGCTTTAATTTAATCATCACTCAGGATTAATAACAACTGCCTCAAACTTTTTTTAAAGTATTTAAAACAATTGAGATAAAAGAAGAACCATGCTATAACAATTGAAAATCTACAAAGAACGCATCTCTATGCATTAGTTTAAAGGACTTAGAATTTTATAACTTTCGGAATATTAATTAGGTATGTAGTGCTTTAATTTTAACTTTTAAAATGGCCAGTACTATCACAAGTTATACGTTATATCTTATTCTTTGGGGTTTAGTTGTTGAAAGAGGGTGAGTCCTGAAACTCTGATTTGATCATTTATACTGGGACCGAAATATAATTGAATGAAAAGGTCGCTAAACCACCTACCGTCGGTTCAAATCCTGTATAACGGATTCAAAGTTTAAGATTCATGAGGATTTAAATGGGTGATTAAGAAGTTGAACCAGCGTTAGGTGATTCAGCAACCTTTCTCCAATTCATTAAGTTCCGATCCTGTTGTATATATTCTAATGTTTGATTTAATTTTTTCTAATTCAATTTGTTCTCAGGTTCTCCGTCTACGAAGTATAGAACTAAGATAGTTCTGAACGGTGGTCTGGAATAATCATACCAATCTTTATCCATCAGGAGAAAACATGCCAAGGAAAGAAAATTGTGTCAGACAAATCTTTGCTTCTTTTCTCCGATTAAAGGACTACAATTATTTCCTCCGATATAAAAGAACTAGTCTTTTCCTCCGATTAAAAACTCCGGTTTACTCCGATTAATTAAATATCTTTTCCTTATCTACTGATTTCCTTCAATTAAAGAACTACAATTATTTCTTCTAAAATTAAGAAACTACTACTTTCCTCCGATTTAAGAGCAATATTCCAATTTGATAAGCTCTTATTCCTCCGATTTCCTCTGAAAAGTTAGCCCAAAATATTAATATATTTTTGCAAAATCTACTTGTCATTTATTAATATCGATATAGTAAAAGATGTAAAATTTTCTAAGAGTTTCTATATTTTATAAATCAAATAATTTTCCAGCTTCCAATCAGCCCTGATTCAGAGCTAGACCCGAACTGAATGAAAAAATTCATTTTCAATTTTTAAAAGAAAATCATGGAAAAAAAACTTGAAAAGATTTAACTTTAAGGGCATTAATCATTCATATTCTAGAGATTTTCTGTAAAATGTGAGCTCAAGTTTTTATTTGAAACAACTTTAATTCAAACGAGTATATATAAATACTCATAAATATGAAATGTTATTGTAAATACTAATCTAAATAATAACACGTTAACTCAAGTTTCAACTCATCTAATGAAAAATTCTATTTATTTTTGTAGCATTTATTTATATTTTGTGTATTAATAAAGATTAACAACTAAAGAAACATTATTTAAGAAAATAAATTTAAATAAAATATTCATTCAGAAATTGATAAACCTTGTGAGAATTTTAAAAAATTATAGTTTTTCACATCTCCATCACCAATTGAAATTGTACAAAGCTCGTTGGTCATAATTAATTTAAATCGATTTAGATAGATGATTCAAAGGAATTTTCTAATCCCTTTATCTAAAAAAATAAAATACCTTAGCATAAAACTTTAAAGGGAGTGAGCGGCTTTGAAAGGTAGTTGAACTGAGTATGCAATGTTGTGGAATACTTCCTTCGGATTCATTTGAGACATATTAAACGTTTTCAGAATTAGTGTTTTGAATTATTAAATAACGACGACATAAAATGTAAAAAAGTTCTACTTTAAACTACAGACGTCATGTATAGGAACAAGTTGAGAAAATTAATCTTATCATCGGCCACAAGTAATCTTGTTCAATTATTAGTTTCTATTTTCTCATTATTCTGCAGTTTCTCATAATACACAAAGATTTTCTGCAGATTTTCTAGAATTATTATTGAAAAGACGACATTTGAAGAATTTGAAGAAATCTGCGAAGAAATTCAAAGAAAATAAGAAATTCAATATAATAACGAAAAAGAAACAATCGATTTTAGCATTGATTTATTGACAAATTTCTTTTAAGAAATATTTTCCACACCCATCTAATTAGATTACTGTATAATTTTTATTTATTTTTCGTTGTCGTTATTTGATAACTAAAAAAACTAATTCTGAAAACGTAACCACCCCCAAAGTAGGAGTTTTGAACGCCGAATTTGCGATCAAACTCAGGATTTACAGATATTTAAAAAGTTTTATGTCTCAAATGAATCCGAAAGAGGTTTTTCACAACACTGCATAATCAGTTCAACCACCTTGCCGGCTAAATTGCTGCATAAAGGCTCAGATAAAATTTAAAACTTAATTGCTTAAGTCTGTATATGAATGTTTCAGTCTGTATAAGAATTTGGCATTACACTTCAAACTACAGTAAATTGAAATGTTTTGTGTTTTTAACTCATTTCTCTCATTGGAAAGCTAAGAAGAATAAAAATGTTTTTAATTGTTCATTTTTCTCCTACTTTTGCCACTCCTGTATGCCGAGTCCATTAGCGCCTGATCCAATCAGGGTTCAGCCATGTGTTTGTTGTCTATTCTGAACCAGTAGAAACTGAACAAATAGAAATGGTATGGCGGTAACATCTATCTTTCTATCTATCTTATTATCCAATCAGAGATATGAATCCTTTAATCCGCGCTATCAGTAAATGGAATTATTTACTTCTACCGAAACTATGCGTAAAACCAAAATCAAAATGAGAGGAGCAAAGAAGTCACAAAGTCGTACCAACTCAATTCTATTTTGGCACTGGTAATTTCCTAATTTAGTGTTTTCGGAATACCCTCCCCCCCCCTTCATCTATATTTTAGTTTAGCGCTGGGACCAGGTATAGTCTTGTCTTAGTTATAATAAAAAGAAAACATTTATAATTATTTTTTTTTATCTTTGAAACCTCTTCACTAATTTGCAAATCGAACTATTCTTGCGGGACTAAGATATCTATTTAAATACTTTGCTTGTCTGGGTATCTGTTAGGGTGTCTGTCTGTCCATTTGTATCCAATAAACAATTCGAAAAGAAAATTCCATACAAGACTAGTCTCACAGACTGCAAAAAAGTGTTTTATCTTTTAAGATGTAACCCACCCCATTGTACATAAATGAGGGAATTTATTCTCCACTTAAGTTTAAATGAAACAATTTCAAGTGAAGTGTGAGTCCCTGGAGATAAATCTTAAATCTGGCGGAAAATTAGAATATTTGTCAATATTAATAATACACGGCTTAAAGGGACTGTATAGAGTGTAGACATAATTTCCAATGATTCTTTATATTAGAATATTTGTCAATATTAACAATACACTTCTTAAAGTGACTGTATAGAGTGTAGACGTAATTTCCAATGATTATTTATATTAAAATATTTGTCAATAATAATAATACACTGCTTAAAGGGACTGTATAGAGTGCAGACATAATTTCCAATGATTCTTTATATTAGAATATTTATCAATATTAATAATACACTGCTTAAAGGGACTGTATAGATTGTAGATGTAATTTCCAATGATTCTCCATATTAGAATATTTGTCAATATTAATAATACACTGCTTAAAGGGACTGTATAGAGTGTAGAAGTAATTTCCAATGATTATTTATATTAGAATATTTGTCAATACTAATAATACACTGCTTAAAGGGACTGTATAGAGTGTAGATGTAATTTCCAATGATTCTTTATATTAGAATATTTGTCAATACTAATAATACACTTCTTAAAGGGACTGTATAGAGTGTAGATGTAATTTCCAATGACCCCTTCTACTAGAATATTTATCAATAATAATAATACACTGCTGAAGGGATTAGATTAGAAGTAAGTTATATTTACTGACTGTTCCAGTTGAATTTATCATTGTATTCTATTCTTACCCTGGTGTTTTACCTGAACCTTTATCTTTTATCATTGTTTTTATTATACTGCATTAGAACATATTTCATCATTCTACTCAACAAACAATTCTGGGAATTTGAAAGAAGAGTTCTTATCAAGAAAATTTTTATATAGCTCCTTAAAAAGACAAAAATAATATAAGGGATTAGGAAATTTTAGTATGTGGCAAAGAATCAATTCCTTTGAGTTTACTTTGAGCACACTTGCTTCTGTTGAGAAAAGGAAATTAGTTTTTACCACTAACACGATTTTTTTATTTCCTTAATCTTTGCAAACCGGTCAAGCTATGAATTCTGTTAGATCAAATAATCTAAGTTTGGAATATCAAAGGTTGCAAAGAAATATGGGATTTGGAAATTTTACCTCTGGCAAAGACTGAATTCCTTTGGATTTACTTTTAACACCCTCACGTAGTCTTTGTAAATAGATTTACAAAAAAGGAACTTTAAACGTGTTTATGTTTTCACATAGACCAGGCTACAATAGTAGGATTCATCACTTTGAACAAATTATTCATTTAATTTTCCGCATTTTCTATTTTTCTACATACCTGTAGATTATAGTGAGGTGCAGTTTTGACAGTTGTCAAAAAATGTAAAAGCCTAAAGTCCTATTTTGCATGTTTCTATGAGAAACAAATAATAATTAATATTTTGTACAAAGTAGACCGCTAACTTTAACAGTTTGGGTGATAAAGAGTTTAAAAAATGTGTAAAGGTTGAAAAAATGTGAAAAATAAAATTTCTTCTTTTTGAAAAATAATAACATGTGACATATGTTATTATTTTCATTTCTCATGGGCTTTCCAAAAATGTGAATTTAAGATCTGTAGCGCCTCAAAAATTTACACAGTCTAAAATTTTAAACAATCTAATTTGATATCATTGTTCTGTTCAGTTAAGAAAAGGATAATGCGGATAGAAAGGAAATCTGTGCTAAGCAAGCTCAAATATTTGCTCTATATTTAAGAAGTAGAGATATAAATAGACAGATACTGAGCCTTCAATATTAAATGATTTAATAAATTGCTAGGAAAAATCGTTTTACTTAAAACCTGCAATATTTAAAGCACAAATTCTATAGCATGGTTCTGTAACAAAAAGAATTATAAATTGTTTTAAAATAATTATTTTTTTTCTATAAAAAATGTCTGCCTAAAGTTTATGATGTAAGAAAGTGGGAGGGGAGGGGGGGGGGGGCTTATAAGGGAAGGACATAACTTGGGTCAATGTTTGAAGTCTATGTTAATTTTATCAGAATATTCTAAGACCGGATCCAAAAAATTAAATTTTCGTCGTGAATATATCATTTTTAACCATAACTTCAAGATTAAAGATTAAACCTTAGATTATTGAAGATTTTCTGAAGAATGTTGATCACATTCTCGGAATATACAGGGTTATCCATAAAGAATGAGACTTCAGAGACGATTGAACGGAATTTATACTGTCTGTTTCAGACTTATTCGCGATTTATACTGTCTGTTTCAGACTTATTCACGATGTTCAATAAACTTGTTTGTTTCTTTACCAAATCATAAAAAAAACAGTAAATAACTATATATGAAGCAAAATACATAGTTTCACCTTGGGATCTTCAAATTTTAAAAGTTTCCTGTCGTCTTTACAGTCTCACCTTTTGTGGGTAACCCTATACTTAAAATAAAAGACTTGATATATCACAAAATGCACATAAGCTCTAATGATAGGCTAAGCAGGCCTAT